ACTTATATGGCTAAAACGCGCCATTAATTGCAGCGCCACTTTAATATTTATTGTCAATTATTGTTAGTTTAATTGTCAATTATTAAAAATTGTTTCATATCGAGTTGCAGCAGTTGTTGACGTCTGTCGACGTCCATTCAACATTGATGCACGCGGCGTATGCGCAATGCACTCCACGCTTTCAGTTCTCAATCAATACGTAGCTCAGGTGCCACATTGGATTCCCAAGCATCGGTCAGCTGTCAAGGCTTCATGCCGGCTTCACACGCTTTTTGGGCCGAGCCAGGCCAGGGCAGGCCGGCCTCGGCTGGGCGTTACATATGGGAATAATCTGCATCAGAGCAGGGGCCCAGTGTAAGTCTATGTTTTCTGGTTTTTGGCCTACCCTTCGGTAGCAGTGCGAGCGCGTAATCAATTAGCCCTGACAGACCAGAGCGCGCAGCTGTGTGAGGCTTTATTTAAGATTATTTTTTTTTTGCCAGAGCGTTGATATTTTGCCATAAGCTTGAACCAATCCCAAGCAGAGCAACACATTCAAATCTGAACCATGCGGATTAGCTCAAAAAATTTATCGGAATTAATAAAATTTCCTATTTTGAAACAGCAGCCATGAGATAATTGTTGGCTTTAAATATGGCTCTTGTAGCTTTTCGAATCCCTTTCGTTTGAAAAATTGTATAATTGTTATTATTTTATATAATATGGTTTATTTTGGGCTGTTTTTCTTTTCTCTCTTATGTTACGAAAATGTGAACTTCTTGTGCGAACCGTATCTTGATTTTTTCAGCTTTTTATTGCTTGCCGTCTAAGAGAAATTTAATTTAAAAGGGTATTTTTGTTTCGTCGTGCTATACACTTAATCCGTTACGCATTTTAAAGCTTAATAAAGCTGATGATGTGGAGATACCTTTTCGATTGCAGGTGCTAAGAACTGAAGTAGCCGTTGCCTCGATTTTTACAACCTGCCACTGTTAAATATTGATGTATATCAGCTGCAATCAACGAGGAGCGGGCATCTCTGTCTCTCACTCTCTCTCTCTCTCTCTCTCTCTCTCTCTCTCTCTCTCTCTCTCTCCCTCTCTGTTTCTCTCTCTTTGGACGTTGACAAAAGCTGTGCGGCACGATCAAGGCTGTACCTGGCCACAGCTGCAACTGATGGGCGCTGATGAATCGGGCGGCGTCTCCCCTTCGATTGTTACGTGCCGCTGATTCGCTTCATTATTTATTGTTTAGCTGCCCCCTGCATGTCTGATGCAACAAGGGGGCATTGATTTTGCGTAATTGCCCATGTGGCAAACAAATTGGTATCTACAAGCCGATGCTGCATGCTTCTCGCTGCAAGTGCGCTTGCGTTGCCAATTGTTGATTTAGTGGCTGCTCGCAGCGCCTAATGCAGCGATTAATCGCACAATTAACGGGTTAAACATTTTGACAAACTAAAAAATGCCGAACGATTTGTCTCAGCCAGGTGGTCGCCTTGTGGGTGTTGGGCGAGCACGTGGTGCAAAAATGCAATAAGCACGCGCGTAAATCAACAGGACATGCCACAGCAAGATGGAAGAAGAAGCATCCAAACTTGCCACCTGGTCGTTGCTTCTAATCAAGTTAGACGAACGACCTCGTGGACGTCGAGTGCGATGTTGTCGTCCTGGCATGCCGCCTCATAAAAACCAAATGAATGCCTGCCGTTGCAGGAGCTGCTGCCTCGAAAAAACTTTACGACAAGCCACACAAATTGGACGCTCATGTTTTTGGGGCCGAGACTCTAGACTTGTTATGTCCAATTGCGGGTATAATGTTTCAGTCTCAAGGAAAGGAAAGGCAGTTCAACCATGAGATGAACTTCATATGGGTATCATGATAGATCTCATTTCTAGCAGTCTGTGTAGTGAGTTTTTCTAAGGTGTAAGAGATTTTCTTTTATTCATATTACAGCTTAACAGCTTCCTTAAAAGGAACTTAATTATATTGAGATCATTTTTATAGAGTTGCAGCTATCGGAAATTAGCGTCGACAGTAACGCAAGAGATGCAGAGGGTTGTCAAGCGCTAAACTTAGCTAAAAATAAAGGGAGAGTGTATATGAACTTCGTGGTATTTTTGTTGGTGTTGTTTGCTTGTTTTATGGGCCAAACGGCAGCAACCTGCACTTGCATCATGTTGACGCAGATCACCAGGACAGGTGGCGCACCTTGACGCTGCCCGTTGGCCATTTGCATAACCTCTAGCTGCCTCTGTATAAATTTCTGGGCGCAAATGAAATGCAATTTTAGCCAAGCTGAATGCTCTTATCATTTGTGTACCATCAGTACAGAAATTAAATAAAATTGCTGTCAAGGAGCCAAACAGCGAAACTTGTAGGAGGAAGCCACCAACGCTGTCATTCGCCGATTCCAATCGTCTGCGCGGCTGCTGCGCTCCGTTTGGCAGCGCCAGGCGGGCGCTTGCGATTGGTATCGTTCATGTCCGTCGCACCCGCCTGCTGTAGGTTTCCCACACTCACGCACCCAATGCGACATTTTCTAAATCGAATAGATGCCAAAAAAAAAAGAAAGAAAACAAAAAAAAAACAACTCAAAGGCAAACCGCAAAAGACTATAAAGATTTTTAATATGCAAGCGTCAGATAAGCGAGGAGCGCTGAGGGACGTAGGGGCTGAGTGCAAAGCGCAGCTGCTGCCGCATTAATTACACCGGACTGCGCCTTGGGGCAGGTCGGAGACGGAGACGGAGACATCAGACGGAACGGGGCCGAAACCAGCTTGGCCGGGTCTGCTGTTGGCTGTTAACTGGCCTAGCGAAAAGCACCCGCATAATGCCGCGCCATTCATGCTGCGATAGACTGCGCATAAAATTCATAGCTTTTTGAATGTCATTTGTCGTTAACTGGCCGCAAGTTTGTTTCAAATTGATTTGAGAATGGCAAACTAAAAGTCAAATGAAATAAATGGCAGCCACAACATTTTTAAATGATTCTGTTTGCTTCAGGTTTGTCATAGATCAAAATATGATCAAGCCTGGATTAATTAAATGTCTTTCCATTCGTATTCCTATTTAAGAATTTCAATTTGCCAAGCACTCTTGTAATTCTCGTTTCAATTTCCTTTCTTTCAGGGATACCCATTTCCGCTATACATGATCGATCTGATTGATCTGATAGTTGCAGGTAAGTAAACTTTTTATATATAATTTAATTGATTTGCTCAAGTGTTTCTTTTGCATATTCCATTTACGATTCACCCTACCATAATTCCCATTTTTGCTCCTTACGTTCTGGGCTAAAAGCCCGCTGACCGAAAAGGTTTATAGTACTTAAATGCCAATATCCATAGAAACTGTTCTGAGGAAAACTGTCACATTTATGAGTAGGCAGGAGGAAACGCGTTGCGTATAAGTTATGCGCTGTAGATTGCCTCATCATTGGCCTATCCCCAGCACCGCCCAGTCCTATTCCGTCCTGCCGGCCAGGAATGGCATCTCAGTCCATTTTCATTGCCCTCAGCGCTTGCAATTGGCGATTATGCCGCCACGATAAGCATATTGGTCGCATAAACCTGCATCCAACTGGCCAAAGATTCAATGGCTGGCGCACCAAAGTGGCAACAGCAATTTGTAGCTGAGTGAACGTGTAGTGACCAAAACGGCAGCTAAGTTTTTGCTGCCGCTGTCGCTGCTGTTGCTGTTGCTTAATTAATAGACAGTCGCTCCATGGACTGCTGACCACTTGCATATGATCAATACGTGTTGATTAGTGTAGTCTGGTATCATGCTCGTATCTCGGCGCTCGGCTTTTATGGTCCGTTCTGTTGACAATTTTTTTGCCACATGAGCCACGGCCTTCATTGCAGCTTTTGTCGCATAAATCAAGCTGCTGCGCACTGCAGCTGCAAGTCACCGGAGAACAACGCCGAACCACCCAAAAAAAAAGTATATATAAATTATATATTTATATTTGTGTAAATAAATAAAAATCATTTGCGGGTGTTGCCCGTTCCCAGGCACTGGGGCAGCTACAACGGGTTTCTCCTTGCTCAAGCGACCTTAGAAAATATGCAATTGTCTGGCATTAATTTATAGCTCGCAATGCATTTAAATTGCAGGCATGAGGCCATTGAAATCAATGAGCTGCTAAGGTCGTGTGTGGGTGTAGCGGCTGTAGCAAGAATTCTTTCTAACTCCACAACAACTGCAACGACTGCACCTGCTGCAGCTGCATGCATTTTCGACTCCAACTGCATTTCTGTCCGCCTGACTCCGTCTGGCGGCTCTGTTGGGCTCGAGGCCCCAATGCGCATGCAAATTTGTGATTAAGGTCAGCTGGCATCATCAACTATGTTCGCAGCGGCCGCCTCGGGTTCATCTTCCGATCGTCTGCAATTGCTTGTGGGTGCTCCGGGCAAAGGCTGTTGCCATCCAGACGCAAAGCTCACGGCAATGCGTGCACGCCCCGACAGTTGACTAACAGAAGATGTGGCTGGCAAGCGGCTTAGATTTATAGTTGAGCTGTTTGAAAGCAACGATGAGCTGCCATAGGAAGCGGACTCTAAGTATTCCATGTTGGCTTTGGCTGATGTCAGAGCTTGGAGAATTTTCGGTATATATGTATGCATGAAGTGAAAATATTTGGGCTGTGAGCCATAACATATATCTATTAAAATTGCTTAAAAATTGTATAAAAAAGGAAGGAATGAAATATCGCCTGAGCCAGACGCCGATCTCATTCTATCTACTTTAAGGTTTTGAGCCTTAGAGACTCGGGGACTCTCGAGTAGAGAAATCTAACCCGCTTGCATAATAGCTGCAATGAATAGTTATGTGTATAACAAAGTGATTTTACACGTTCCAGGTCATAAGCAGCGTATAACGGTATTGCATAAATATTGTTTAACAATTTAAACACCGTAGCCAAATTATTTCTATTTGCTCTCAACAACCTTGTCATTTGTTAGACACGTCCGAGTTCTAGTATTAGCTATGAAGAATCGATCCGTTGTATTCAAATTGCCAGACAAAATCTATAAAACGGGCATAAATGCTTTTATTTAGAACCATTGATCGAAATAAGTCGATGAGAACATGTCGAGAATTCTGCTTAGCTCGGTAAGTTGCACCCTTCCTGAAGAGTGAGCACTGATTGGACCATCTTAAATATTAATATAGTTGGTTCTGATTCTGATTGCCAACTTGGCGATGTCGGGACTGGTACCGAGTGTTTCTCTTAATGGCGTTGAGATCCAGCCAATTGGTTATAATAAATACCAGCTAAGGTTTGTTTCAAGCAAAAAGGAATTAAGTATCTATGGGTCCATACATTGACTGATTTGTTTATAGAATTAAACATTCAGATGGATCTATACTGGAAGAAACTGTGGAAAAGACCAACGCCAACCAATATGAAGTGAGGGGCCAGCTAAGCCAGCCACAATTTAGCCCATTTGGCAGACTATTCCTTACCCACAAAGCAGCTGCTGATAAAAGTGACTCCAAGGCATATGGCACATATCAGTATGTTCAGCCAGTAAAAGATCAGGGGAGAGAAGCGCAAAAGTCCGATTCAGATTAAACGTCTGCACAGCTTACATAATAAATTGTTTAAAAGCCTTGCGATAAATCTTGTAGGCAATAAAATATAATGCAGAATTCCTAATAACTTATATATTTTATATGTTTGTTTGTCTGCAAATCAAAACTTGGTTTGAAATCATTCTATATTTTGAATATCGTTTAAAGAAAATAGTTCATTTCTGCAGAAAATGTAGGTATATATATATTGAATATGACCAAATTGGTTAAAAGTCAGTCTTTATTACGGATATCGTAGAATGAAAATAAATGTTAAATAAGTAAACATTTATTTTCGTTTTTATATTTCTTGTGTTCATCTATCTGCAAAAAGATGATTTGAAGTTCAATTTAATATTTTAATTCAATTGACTTGTCGCAGAAACATATTGCTTAATTATATGTATCCATAAGAGTCCCGATTTCATTAGAACACATTAAGTATATTTTATTTGCCAAGCTCTAAGAGCTTAGTCAAACCATTTTAGTTTTTCCTCAACGACCTTGAGATTCTTTATGCACGCCAACCACATATTCTACTATGCTATACTTAAATAACTTTATCGAATCGATGCGTTACACCTAAGAGGTAAAACCTATATAACGGGCAACAATTTTTTCTTAAAGACATTTGAGGCACTAATCTAAAAAGGCCGACGACAATATGTCTGGAATTTCACTTAGCCCTGTGAGTAGCCGATTTGTCAAATATTGAAATTTATTTATGATATCTTCAGGTACTTCTTTTTACAATTGTCAATTTGGTCCTGTCGTCGCCAGTACCAGATAAAGTAGGATCCAAAAATGTTAATACTGTCGAGGTAGCCAATGAGAGATCGGTTTACCTCGAACACCTTCATGATAACGTATACAGAATATTGTTAGTTGACTGCTGACTTTTTATAATATTTAAATAATTCATTCATTCAATGATTTGCATGCAGACTTCCTGATCGTACGGGAAATTTGCTTGAGCAAATTGTGGAAGAAACTGGGCCTGGCCAGTTTACAGGAATGGATGACCTAAAACGTGCTTATTCTGGACCGGCAGCAAGACTAATCGTAACCAGCCAAACGGGTCCTAATTCCTACTCAACCAGGTACACAATTGTACCGAAAGAACTTCAATTGCCGGCACCCGCAAAACAATAATTTAATACATAGTCAACACTTTCTATAATTTCGGTCAAGCATTAAATGTTGTAGTTAATTGGCTTTTTTGTTGCTCAACATTTAACATTCAATTGACTTTTTTATTGCATATAGATGCATTAGCGGGTCAAAAGATTTTATAAAAACAACTTTGGAGTGCACTTGGCCATGGTGCAAGCCACAGTCCACTCATGACTAACTAAGACTGTGTGGCTATTTAAGGATGCTGGCTAGTATCTTGGTCCAAATTGCCAAACCTGAGCACTTTATAACCTCCAGCGGACTGCAGCCATTTACGAGGTACCAATCAGTGGCCGTCAGTAGCATATTGTGGCCACAGTCTAAGAAAACGACAGTTTCCGTTCCCAGACTGGCGTGCGGTTCCCCAGTTGGGACTCACCTTGCGCCGCGGGGCACGCTTCCGGCCTAAAAATGTATGTCATAAAAGCGTCCGCTCGGACTCAAGTGGTTAAACGAAGTTTGTGTACTCAATAAATGGGTAGCTTTTGCATGTATCACCATTCGCAGCTTACTCTCACTCTTAAAGCTATTTATTTCCAAAATTAGTTTTAACTATCTAATATAAACCATTTTACAGCCAGCTTGACTTTTTTGTCAGCCTTAATTTCCCAAATAAGGCTAACTGTTGGACTCCTCTAAAACCACTTAGTATTGATTTCTTTCAATTCCGAATAATTGTCGTCTCTATGCACGTAAAATTATATTAACTATTAATTACAGATTTCAATAATAGTTTATTGAATTCACCTGCACAGTGGAATGGGAGATTATATATATATAAGCACGCATTGCATTGTTTTGTCCTGTGTGGATTAGTTGTTTGAGCATCGAAACCGACAAGCGAGAGGTCGCTGGCTCAAATTCAGCAGCAATTATCAAGTTGTAAATTCGTTTTATGTTTTTTTTTTAAACTATTATTATTCGCATAGAAAAAGCAAAAACAATATATAAACAAAACAAAAACAAAGTGGAGGTTAACAATATTAATATTGAAAGAGGAATGGTGTTAATTTAAGCACATTTGTATCTGTCAGAAGTTGGCGCGACAACATTATACATTATAATAGCATATACACGTGCCCCTGTCGACGTTGGGTAATTTCTTTCCTAAATAAAACAGCTTGATAGGATTCGCTTAAATGAAAAACTGATAGTGTTATCCAGGAGGAGTTGGGGCAGGGTAACTAGCGATTGAATAGATATGTGGAAAAAATTTTACTGGTCTTAACCAAGCGCTTGAATATAAAGTCGTGACGAGAAATGCTTTTATATTTTCGAATGTTTAACCTGTTGTCATCGCGTCTTTGCAAAGTTATAAATCATGCCAATATTTTTCAATTAAATAATTAAGATTTATTGTACTGCAACTGCAAGTAGGATTGGAACATCTTCCGCTGTCTGTTGCAGAAATTCGGTTGTAATAGGTTTTCCAGTATTACGCATTAAGGTTTTTGTGGGTGAGCAGCCTTCACACAATTTCAAGCTTAAGGTCGCTTTATTTTTTTGTTGACTTTTCATAGTCGTGAAAAAGCAAAACTCGTTTGTGTCTTAAATAAAGTAAAGCGACTAGATTTTCGGACTTGAAGATGAGTCGCTGGGAGTTGCCAATCTAGTTGGTTGCCAGATACAGACACAGAAAGATCGACAACGACAACATGTCTGCAAATTTGTTTGTTTCCGTAAGCTGCAGATATTTTTAATATTTTTGTTATTTAAAGTTTATATTTTACAGTTACTTGTGGTTCTTTTTGCCAAATTGGCACTTTCGGCGTTGGTTCCACGCATCCAAACTAGCAATGTTCAGTTGGAGCCCATAAATGACAATAAATACACACTTAGGTAGAAGAATTCTTTGGAATATTTTCCATTTAAAGCTGATAAACTTATTCACACATAGAATTAATCAGCTTGGCGCTGTGCGCGAGGAGAACGTGGAAGAGATCGCACCTGGAGAGTTTCTAGTTAAGGGTCAGCTCAACCAGCAGTTTGAACCTCAATCCGGAACTCTGATTGTTACCTATGAAGCTGGTCGCAATGGCTATATAGCCAAGTACACCTATGTTACAAAAGAAGGTCTGCAAATACCATTGGGACTTAGTCCAGATGCGTTGAAATCAATAACTGGCTAAGCTTAAGTGACCTCATCAGGCCTTAAAACTTTTTGATTAAATTAATAAATGTGAATTATTGATTAATCGTAAATCTAATTTGGATGTGCTTGACATGCTCTATTTTTAAGAATTTGAATATGTTTTCTTATCAAATTCGTAATTAAAGATTCAATACTCACTTGCTATATTCAAACTTTCGCTCGCCGAGTTTACAAACGAAATTTTGCATAATTGTTGTTGAAAATCCCTGCTGAGGAGATCATTTGACCATCACTTTCATTGCCGTTTCCCGGTGTTTGTCGGTATTTTGGGCTTTGCACTTCACAACGCATCCATAAACACTTGATGGCTTTGCCAATAGCCGATGCACTCTGGCTGTAGGCTGCTTTCCGAGCACCCCAACTGTACTCCATGCACGCAATCAAGCGGCAAATCAACAATTTTCCATAACAGTGAAGCGAACGGTTTGGCTTTGTGCGGGTGATTGACGCTTGTTGCATGCAACTGCAACTGCTGTGGCAACAACTTGAGGCAGTCGATTTTAAGTGGTCGCAACCGCAACGTGAAAATACTTAGCAAATAGCCCCTCGGGTCGAACTTTCAACAGCCGGCAGGCGAAACAACCAAGCAGGTGAAATGTTTGCTGAAAATCAACAGCTTGACTGGGCCTTTCTAGTGTACCCCGCTTCACAGCTCTCCCCTGGCCTGGCCGTGCTTCTGTGCGTGTGTCAATATGCGTGCAACAAGTTTGCCTTGGCGTATTTTTGTGGGTGCTCCACACTTTAAATTTATTACAACTCGATTACTTGTACTTACCACTTTTTTTCCAGTTGCCAGATATCGATCAGGGTGCCCCGTAGGCCGAGCGGCCGCAAGCGTCTGAGCTGCAGGCCTCGGTTTCGGCCTCGCATGGCCATCGATCGCCCACAACAAGACTCCTCCTGGGCCCTGGCACTGCATGTAAATTAGCATATCGTGCGCGTAATCTGGCCAACAGGAGGCTCCACTTCGCATCCTGCTGTTGCGGCATGTGAAGGCGTCATCGGAATCGGAATCGGAGTTGCCGTCGCAGTCGCCGTCGCCATCGCCGCCGCAGTCACGCAATGAGCCAAAGCCAAACACTGACCACTGTGTGGGCAGCTGAACAGATTCAGCTTGAGTTGCAGTCGCAGTCAGAGTCACAGCTGCAGTTGCTCTGGACTCCTTGTGCGTGCCGCATTCTGGCTTAATGACATTTTATCTCTCTTGTGGTGCGGCTGCCAAAATTATACATACGCAGCGTTGCCTTGCCATGTATTTGGTATGCAAGCATAAAAGAGGTACAGATTTTTGTTTTGTTTTCTGTTCAGAATTTTTATGCAATTGGCAGCGGAAATTGGCTTGCACATTGCTTTTTATGACATTTTAATATGCAAAAGTTTTGCGACCAAACAAATACCTTTTGGTCCTGCAACTACTTGCGGCTGCTTACTTGTCTATGCATGTTGCCTGCCAAGTTTTTTGCGAGCTGGTAACTGGTGTCTGGTAGCTGGTGACTGGTCAAGGAACCCAATACCAACATTAAGTCACACCATCAAAACGCATTTAATTCAGTTTTTATTGAGTTGACAAATCCAATTAGCAGCAAGTTTCGGCCATTTTAAAGGCAAACTAAACTAGCAAGCATAGCCAAACTCTATGCCCAGGGCACAGAGCCCCAAACACTTGAAGACACACTCACATACTGGTTATACCATATTCCCGGAGCGCCGCTGGCTCGCTTTAGCACTTGCCCGCAATATGCCATTAGAGCGCACGAACTTTAGCCC